ACTTTGCTTTCTTGTCCCTTGTCCTTTTCTGGATGCCATGTTTTCCTCTTTCTTACTCTTCTACCCCTCTTGTTTTGGTTTTGCAAAAGCACATCTTGCAGTCTCTTGCTAAGACGGCATGTATAGACACTCACATGTTTGAAAAATGGCAGATCACCTGAGGTCAGGAGTTCGAGACCAGCCTGGCCAACATGGTGAAACCCTGTCTCTAGTAAAAATGCAAAAATTAGCTGGGCGTGGTGGTGCACACCTGTAATCCCAGCTACTTGGGAGGCTGAGACTGGAGAATCACTTGAACCCAGGAGGCAGAGGTTGCAGTGAGCTGAGGTCATACCACTGCACTGCAGTCTGGGTGACAAGCAAGACTCCATCTCAAAAAAAAAAAAAGACTTCCTTCATTTGTAATATATCTAAAGCAGTTCTTGAAACATTTAATAATAAGCGGGCATTTCATACATGTCCTTTAATTTACTATGGATTTTATCTGTGAATTTGTTTCCCTATATTTTTATAACACTTAGCAATTTACCAAGTGCTTTCATTTGTATTTTCTCATTTGATTCCCTCATTAACCCTAGACAGGTATTGTCTGTATTGCATATGTCAGGAATGATTATGTAAATAATAGTCTAGTGTCTCACAGGTAGTTAGTTGAAAGCTTAGACTAGAATGCAGGTTGTTTTACTTCATTATTATATTCTTCCCCTTATGCATGTGAGAGTGAAGGCCAAAAATAGCCATCTGCTTTGGGGGATGACAGCAGGGGTAGAGGTTCCAGGTGGACAGTGATGGACAAGAGAAAGAATGTTTGTAGAGAATCACAGGCAGTTGCCTTTAGCCAAATAATAGGTTGTGATGGTTGGAAGTAAGAGGTAAGATTAGAAACACAATTGAAGTCATTGTTGGGGTAAGAATAAGAGTTTGGACTTTGTCAGAATCCATTTGAGTGAAAAAAAGAAAATTAAAAATAAAAATGAAAAAAAGAGTTGGGACTTTATATTGTAAGAACTGAGATATACTGAAACTTTGTGACTGGGGGAACTGAAGATCATTTCTGCTGTTGGACTTCCTTGTCAGCAATGCATGGGCTGAATTAGGGATAAACTGGAAGCAAGGTGACTAGGCACCTCATGCAGTATTCCAGGTAAAAAATAATTCAGTTCTGTTCTACCAACATAAAGTGTAGTTAGAAAAGGAACAGCAGATTAGTTCAGGAGATAATGGGGAGTTTCAATCTATAATATTTGACAACTAAATAGATGTATGAGACAAGGGAAAAGGAAGAAAGAAAGCTGTGTTGTTTAGAATGGTGGCGGGAATGTACTCCCATCTCTTCCCTAGACCCCTGTCCATCTATGACCTTTATTCTCCTGCATAACCAACCCTTCCAGCTGACCATCTTAGTTAAGTTAGTCAACATATATTTAGCTAATTTAGCCAGCATATATTTGTTGAACACTCTCTATGTAATAGTTGCATTTTGCCAGGTGTTGAAGATAAATGAAATCTATAATCCCTGCCCTCAGTGAGCTCACGATTTAGTGGTAGAAACAGTCACATAAACAATATAACATTGTAAAAAATTTATTGTTATATGTATTACAGACCACTGGGACACAGAGGGGCACCTAGTTAGGTCACATGGGTTAGGAAAGGATTCTCAGTTCTCTGTTTTGAAGGAAGGGTAAGAGCTAGCTTGGTGAAGACAGTGAGTCAGATGTTCTGTGTAGATACAATAGTATGTTCAAAGGCATGAAGTAATAAACATGAGACTGTGTAAGTTGCTTTGTGAGCCTAAAGCTGTGAGTCTAAGAACAATGAGATTATTCTAGTGAACCATAATACAATTATCACACTCTGATAACTTAACATTGGTACAATGTAATTATCTGATATCCAGTTATATTAAAATTTCTCCAGTTATCCCAATAACGTCATGTATAACTTCTTCCAATTCAGGAGCTAATCAGGGACTCCTCTATACTTAGTTGTCATGTCTCTTTAGTCTCCTTTAATCCAGAATAGTTCTCTAGCCTTTTCTTCTCTCTTTCTCTGTTTCTTCCTCTCTTTATCTTTCATGATATTGATACATTTTTAGATCCTAGGCCAATTGTGTCACAGAATATCCCTCACTTTGGATTTGTATGATTGTTGCCTCACATTCAGATTCAAGTTCAATATTTTTGTGCAAAGTGCTACACAGAGATAAGTTGTGCATCACTTCAGGAGGCAATTGCTATCAGCATATTCCACATTATTGGTAATGTCAAATTTGATTATTTGGATAAGGTGGTATCTACCAAATTTCTCTATATCCTGTTCCTCCACATCCTTACACACAATAGTTTTTGAAGCCATTGATGACTCCTGCCTGAATCATTTCTTACTACGTGAATTGTGGTGAATTTTGTATTTCCCTCATGTCTTTGACATCTATTAGTTGATGCTTTTCTTTAAAGAGGAACTCTCCTTCCTACATTTTTATTACTATGTAATTTTTAGTATCACTATGGATGCATGATTCTTTTTTCCCCAATGTGCAAGAATCCCATTCCCATCATTATTTATTTGATATTCAGTTGTCCTAAATTTGGCCAAGGCAATGTTTCAATCTGGCTTCTCTGTCTTTTCAACATATCACTATCTATTTTTGAGCACTTTCTTATTTTCTGTCACAACAATATGTTTCTGACTCATTTCACACTTTTCTTGGCCTCAGTTCTAGAATCAGCCATTTCTGTAAGCATTGTCATTCCTTTTAGGGAGTAATGGTATGTAGAAACCAAGATCTGAGGGAGAGAGAGGTAATTGGAAACCAAGATTTTAGGGCTAGTAATGGTAGCTAGAAACCAAGATCCAAATGTTCATTGATACTACTATAGTGTTACAGGAAAAGGGTTTTGTTTGTTTGTTTTGTTTTTTTAAGCCTTGAGTTTACATTAATACCTATAAATCCAATCCAACCCTTCATGGTTCTTTTTCTCCAATTCCATATTTACATTTTCTTTCCCACAGTGAGCACATCAGCACATTTACACATCTGCTCTACCCTTTATACACACACAATAGTCTCAGAATCACTACATCAATACCACTACCAACAACAAATTTAAGAAGAAAGTTCACATTTTCTTTATAGATTTTTCCCTTAAACTTTATGCTGTTAAAGTATTCAAAAGTTACTTGGGTTTATTCTTTTTTCCCCTCCTTTATAATTAATGCTATCAATTTGAAAACATGTTTATTTGTTTCTATTTGATTTCAGTACTAGGATTTTTTTTCAATCTCATGACTGCTTGAAAAAGATTTAAAATTTTAATTTTAGATTTAGAAATGTTTTCTTTTTCTTTTACTACCGTAAATATTTGACATTGCCTGCAGTTTTTAAGGAAAAAATATAGTTGAATTTGAATATAAATTTTCAAATAGCTACTTATTTAACTGTCTGAAATATTTAATGTATTTTAGTTAAAATAGCCATCAAATCACTTAGAATTACATTTACTGTAAATTAACAACTTCCAAATATTCTATTTATCACCCACCTTTTTTGATAACACCTACAAGGTTTAGTACTGTTCTAAAAATATGAAACAGCAGCAGATGGAAAAGTGGCTGATACATATTTATATTTATATATCTGTTTATAAACTGTAAATGAGTATGTTATTTGTATTCTACTGCATTCACTTTTCATCTTTGTAAAGGAATTGTGTATGAAAATGGAAAAAATAAATAAAAAGTTCGAAGGAAAATAGCTTTCCATTATTTTAAATGTAGCAGTATACCGGCCATACAATTTCATAAAGAATACCTGCAAGTTACCTTGTCTGGTCAGACAAAAAATCCTTAGTGTTCCCTTGAATTTGGTTTGGGCCAGTAGTTCCTTTGAAACTTTTTCTCCTGCTTTCTTTGAATACTATTTAACACTGATAACTATAAATACTTAAAAATATTACAGGCATAATCTGTTCTTTGTAGAGATAATTGGCTCTATATCCATGTCTTTCGTTAATTATATACAAGATATCAATTTAAAGTAATCTTAATGGAATGCAGTCCTTTTTAGAGAGCCTCTTTTGATTTATTTTTCATTATAGAAGATAAATTTATACATTCTGTAAAATTTTGTAGTGATTGTTCTGTGTCACCTCAAGTCAGGGGATGATTATCTTCTGATATGAAAAATCAATTGTTGGAAGCATGTTCACAAAAGTTAGCATGGAAATATAATTTGATAAGTTTAGACAGCAGAATATCAGTAACAACAAAAACGCTCTCCGGGCCTTGCGTGGTGACTCACGCCTGTAATCCCAGCACTTTGGGAGTCTGAGGCAGGCAGATCATGGGGTCAGGAGATTGAGACCATTCTGACTAACATGGTGAAACCTCATCTCTACTAAAAATTTGAAAAATTATCTGGGCGTGGTGGCGGGCACCTGTAGTCCTAGCTACTCAGGAGGCTGAGCAGGAGAACAGTGTGAACCTGGGAGGTGGAGCTTACAGTGAGCAGAGATTGCGCCACTGCACTCCAGCCTGGGCAACAGAGCGAGACTGCGTCTCAAAAAAAAAAAAGAAAAAAGAAAAAAAAAACACTCTCCTATACCTAGTTGACTTTAGAATATAGGATGATGCCTTGAAAATAGCTCATTTCTACAAAGGAAATGTGATTTATGATAACTGAAGACTCAAACATGACTAGAACCACATTCCATTTAAGGTAATTATGCTGTTGGACTATAAAAGCAGTGCTCTGAAGTGAATCAGTGGAACTCGGTCCTCTTTAGTGCACAGTAACATAGGACTAATGAGGCCCTTCTCATTAAAAGATAGTTGATTTATGAGAGAGTTAAAGTCCTGTCTTATTTTGAAATTGCTAGCTTAGTCCCGGCATCTGATCTTTTTTCTCCCTACCATCACCATCACCAGTTTCTGTGGAGCTTTGACATTGCTATGGTAACCCTGAGGGCTGATGGAATTCCCTGCATCTCTTTTCACAGAGGGTGATGAGACAGGAGTGATGGATAATCTGCTGGAGGCCTTGCAGTCCGGGGCTGCCTTCCGCGACAGAAGAAAAAGGACACCGATGCCGAAAGGTGAACCCTATATTTGTTTCATGCTACTTTCTAGGGAGCTATCACAGAGAAAGAACCTGTTTTTCTCATTCTTTTAAAGTCATGTGTCAAGAATGCAGCGCCGTGGGCAACAACTGTTCAGAAGTTTCATAAGTTTGCTTAATCCCTTGCACAGACAAATGTCAGAGAGAGATGCATTCCAGTTGGCCGATGTCAGTAGCACATTAACAAATCAATGCACTGAACCTAGAAAATCCTGATTAGTGTGACAAGTCTCATCTAAAGAACCATATGTACCTTATCCCAGTGGAGTTTACAGTAGCATAATTAAATGGGAAGTAAAAGTCATAACATTATTGCTTCAAGTATTTCAGGGTATTGAAGCATTACTTTGCTGCCAGAAATACTTAACCTTGGAAAAAAGTATATCTAATACTGTTTTCCTTCTTGAGATGCGTAGACCTCTATATTAAGTTTATTTTATATATTTTTTAACAGATGTTCGGCAGAGTCTCAGTCCAATGTCTCAGAGGCCTGTTCTGAAAGTTTGTAACCATGGTAATAAACCGTATTTATAAATTGCACGTTCTTCTTATCTACTTTTATCCTATTGATCTGTGATTTTAGTAGACTGCTGTGAAATTCTCAAGTTTCAATATAACTAAAATAGTAAAAATGTGTGCATGTACATATTTGCTATGAGATTGTGTACTCGTATTTTTCATCCTTATATTATTGCCTTGAGGTTGTGTCTTAAGTTCTTCTATCAGGTCTTTAGTGAATTTTTTATTATTATAATTATCTGAAGTTAACGTTCAATCATTGCTCATCAGTGTTATCCAAGGCACTCTTTTTCATAACACTTTTTAAAATAGTGGACTTACTATAAGTCAAGATACAATTTGAAGTATTGAATCTGTCATCTGTTTTAATCTCCCACATTCACCAGTGTAGTTAGAAATACCTTAACTGGCATTTTGGCAAAATCATAAACGTAGATGAGCTTCATGTGGTATTATTGTGGAAGGATGTGATAAAATCACTAAGAAGGTGAATTAACTTAGTCTCTGATATTCATCTAAGATGGACTCCTCTCAAAAATCTCTAACCAGTCCTCCATGCCCAACCTCATAGAACTCTCTGCTCTGTTCAGGGTACCATTTCATGTTGATTGGGTTTTATTTGCTTTGGTTCTTTTCCCTCTGTGTTATGTCCTTGGGTCCTGCCTACCTTCCACAGTCAAAACACATTCATTGATTGTGAGTGCTGTTTTTCAGAGTGAGATTGTCACTAATGTTTGCCAGATTTATAAATGTAAAAAAACTTGACAGATTTTGTACAATGGCTGCAGATGAGTTAAGTAGAATTATTAACATGTGACTGAGAGAAAAACCTGTGCCAATTTCTAGGGAAGCCTAAAATAATTATGAGGTAAATAAGAAAAAGACATGGATGTAATTATCTTTTAATAGGTATGTGGATCCTTACTGCTTAAGGTAAAGTATATATAGTAGGTGCTTAACAAATGACAATAAAGGTAAAAATATACTGCAGTCTCTTAAATAGATCTTTTTTGTGTTTTGTCTTGCCTTTCTGTTGTATAGCAATACAAACAGGAAGAGTTGGAATAAGTCAGAGAAGTTCACTGTGAATAATTAAGTAATTCCTAAATTTAGGGTTATGATTTAGAGCCATTGTGACATATTTTACAATGGCAAAACCTGTAGAGAGGAGAACTATCCTGATCTTAGGATTATTTTGTATTATCTATGAATAAATGGAAACCCAGAGAGGCTGAAAACTTCCTAAGAGTACAGAGCTGGTTAGTGACACAACTGTGAACAGAATATAGTTCCAATTCCTATTGTATTTCTTTCTTGATTTTGTATATGTACTTCAGTTATTTTTTATTATTATTAACAAGATAATCAACTCAGCCCCCATTTTAAGTCATTAACAAAGAGCTACAGCCAAACACAATGATTGTGATATGATTAATGATATGCATATACCATTCTACAGTTAACTTAAAATATATATTTTTAGATACTATTTGGGGCAAAATTAGTTCAGATAACTTTGTACACTGGTCTTGGAGAACTCAGCCTTGTGACTATAATATTAGTAAAGTGTCTGAGATATAATGTCTCAGATGCAATTACTTATAAATTGTGATGTTTCTGTTTATTATATATACAGCAGATGAGCATTGCATTTTTATAAAGCTAATATGTACTGGCTTAAGTTCTAAGGCTGTTGTGATAATTAAGCTAGTAGATTATACAGCAAGCCAAACAAGAGATATCAAAAAGATCAAACTCTCTGTTCTAATATAAATGTGATGGGTTCCTACATTTTTAGAAATTATTTTCTATTCATATTTCTGTTGTGTTTTCCCTTCATATTTCTAACCAAGTAGAAAGAAATCCAAATGACCAAATTTATCTTAAGAATTGTGTGTATGTAGATTTATTGGACTAGATGTTGAAAAATGCAGGATTTGGTTAAGGAAAATGTCTTCATTGAAAAAAGTCCAGTGATTGTTTTTACTATGGGATGACATTTTGGAGTTCATTGTGTAATCTATTTCTAAAAACTACTTTGTTTTCATTGAAAATACTAACCCTACGACTGAACTATGTAATTGAAATGTAAGATTGAACTTATTTTTAAATTTGCTTTTATATACTGAAAAGAAAATTGATGTATAATATTTATATTTTCTACAAGTATATATTGTTGATATTGATCTCATAACTTATTTTTAAAGATATAAAAGATTTTCTACAGCTATTTGAAATTCATTTATAGGCTATGTAAAATAATAATAATATTAATAATAAGCTAATGTTGACTGAGATATTTGGCTTACTAAATGCCAAGCACTATGATGAATGTGTTATGCATATTACCCTTTTAACCTTCTCAAATATTTCTCTCAGAGAGTCAATATTTTTATCTCCATTTCATAGTTGAAACCAGTCAAGTATTTAGCAGGTCTGATAACTTGTTTAAGGGCATGTAGTCAAATTTTGAATGCATGCCTGTCTGACTTCAGAGTCTAAGTTGTTAATTTCTTTGCCATGCCATACTCTTAACATAACTGCTTGAATCCATGTCTAATTCACTTCCCATCCATGAGCTAATGACTTATGTGCGTACTTCTTTTAGCTTGTAACATAAAGTTGATCAATTGAGACACAGCCTCTCAGATGTTCTCCAGCCTCTGGTGTGCCTCATCTCTTCTTCCCAAATTTAACCACTAGATAGCACTGTTTTCCTAGTCTGAGGTTTAGATTATGAAAATAATCTAGAATTAATTATGACCACTTTTTATTTCTTTTAATAAAGTCAGTATTAAAACATTTATGTTAATTTTAATAAACCTATGCTCTGTTAGAAATATTGTAGAAGACTTGGGTAAAAAATAGATATCCAAAGCCCAAATTTGAGTTTATTAGCTGCAGTTTTAATTTTTTATTGTCTGTATATCTTTTGCTGTCTGTGTATTGTCTGTGCTTTCTTAAATCAAAGCTATAGTCTCAGACTTCTTAGGTTTCTTTTTATATATAGAGAGAGCATCTTTTATCTCAGAATAGAAAAAAAAAAAAATCTGCTGAAGTATCCTCCTGGTCGTTGGGGCTAAAATGTCCCTATATGTATTTTAGCAAACTGACCTCAAGCATTCTAACTTCAGTGAACTTCAGAAGCAGACGTCTCATGCACTGAATCATCCAGCCTTTGTGATGTGGTCCAAACATCTACCAAAAACACTTTAGTTACAAGTTGTACCTGTTCTCTTTTGCTTTGACTGTAAAGCCACAGGCAGAAATTAAGTATGTGCTAAATCTTTATTTATTCAGCAAAATTTATTAAGCAGTTGCTAGGCACTTAAGATTTATAGATACCTTCTAAGAATGCACCATCTAGTTGAAAGACAGACTAGTAATAATTGCCCTACTTGTGGTAAATGCCAGGTTAGAGGTAACACAAAAAATTTTGGCAAGAAAGTCAGAAAGACTGATCCAGACTTCATGAGGACAGTTTAGAGTTGGCTTCTAGAAAGGATCTGAAATGCAAGCTGAGACTTGAAGGATGAATAGAAATGAGGCCAAAACCCAAGGACAAGAGTGAGCCTAGCAGCAGCAGCAGCAGCAGTAGCATGTATGCACTTTTTCAGGAGGTCCTTTCTGAACCCCAGTCTGAACCTTGTAGAACTGTACATTCTGGTGACACCCTAGTCTTCCCATTTTATAATACATACTGTCCTGAAGATGTTTTTATTCAATGTCTGTCACACTACTCATGAGTTTCATCAGAGTGGAAATAAGGCATAAAGGAGCATATCTGTCTTGTTGACTGCTGTAACCCCAATACTTAGCTGGATTGGTATCAGGCATATAAGTGTTTATAAGAATGTGTTGAATGAACAGACATGTTTATGTTTATACTTGAATGGAACTCTTAATGTATATATTAAGGAGAAAAATCAAATCTCTTAATGTCACCCAAATAAGTGGAATTTGATGTGCCAGTTGCTAAAGTTCCAGCTGTGAACACAGTTAACCACTTCCCATCTCCTCCCTTTAGGTTATCTATCATCAAAAGGAGATATTTGATTGTTTGGTCTATGCATAGCTTCAAAGAGTTGTTGGATCAGATGTAGGGGAGGTTCGATTTTGATTGGGTTACTCACTTCTTAGAAGTGGAGGGCTACTTATTAAATATCTTTCACGTAGTCAAGCAAAGTGTGGCAACATTAAAACAAAAGAACGTATTTGTTGATGAGTACAGGGCATTATCTATTTTCTTTATTCAACACAGTCCAAACTTAAAGATTTTCTGTAGTCTACAGAAAATAGTAAAATTCCTTCTTTTAAATCAAGATAATTAAAATATTTGTTACGGCATTTTAATAAATATCATACTATGGGGTTTGAGTGTTGAGAAATCAGCTGGCCAGTTTAAAATAAAGTACCAGATGGGGAAGAAGTATATTGCGAGTCTGACACCACGCCAAGAAATTTGGACTGTTGAGGTTTTTGAGCATGAAAATGATAGGTCCCCATAGTTTGTATGGAACTAAAGTGTAAGTGAGAAGGAGGGATTGAAAGGACTTCATGGCAAACTCTGTGCCAATATGAATCAGCTGCTAGGGATGGTGGAAAAGTCAAAGAGGGGAAGACAAAAAAAGTCAAAAGGAAAGAAGCCCAGCCTAGAGCTCTAGGTTAAGACACCTTCACAGATAATTGCTAATAATTCATAAGCAAGTGAGTTATCTAAAGGAGAATCTTTAAAACAAAAGAATGGCAAGTTAAGGCCTGAACCTTAGGAATGGTGTCAGGTGAGTAATGAAGTGAAGGAGAAGCAGAAAAGAGATCAAGAAGTTGGGAGGAATTACGCAGTGGTGGAGCCTATACAATGAAGGTTGAAAGAAGACTTTGATTTTCTCATTTGTTTTTCTTTTCTTGATTGTTTTCTTTGTAACCTCTGGTATACCACTGAGTGACTAGTGTTTTTCAGGATACATTTATTCCTACTCTCCTAGGGACTTCCCT